CTGTCAAGGACAACACAGACAGACTCACGAGCTGGATCTCTCCCTGCACTAAGTAGAAAGCTGCAGTGCTGCATTTACAAGAATGGCCCAAATGCCGCCTTATTCAATTAACTTTAGGTGTAGGGATCTCGGTGCTGCCATTCTGGAGAGAAAAGCAAGAATAAACTAAAGAGACTCAGAGGTTTATGTGATGGGGCGAAGTACAGGATGTATTTATTCTTAGACAAGAAATAAAAAAAAAGACCTAAGAGAAGCTGCAACGCTTTCTAAATCCGACGTTACCAGAAATGATCAGTTACATCACGTTCCATATAAACTGTGGCTTTTGAGAAAACGTTGGACCATTCCTATAACCTAGCTCTCAAGGGCCTGCGAGAGAAAAATCAATGGAGAATATGATGTGCAGCGGTTAATAATAACATGAAGCCAGGCCTTAACAAAATCAATATTTGTGGAGTGAGAGCCGTGAAAAAATATACTGTTTAAATTTACCACTCACAAGACGGACGGTGAAAAATCTATGAGAAATTGTATCGAGTGTAAGAACGCTGAGTTGAAAGTGAATTATGGGAAAGGCACTGGCTGTAGTGAGTGAGTGTGTGAGGGGAAGAACTGTTACACTACTGTAGTGGAGTGTAACCTTTTCAAATAAATATAATTAATTAGGAGCTTGAGCCTCCAACAAGTAATCACTGCCAAAAGGTACTTGATCTTTTACATTTCTACCTTTAATACAAGAACCTTTAATTGCCTTCAACCGTAAGAAAAAGAAATCCTCATGACAGAGCAACAGTATCAAGGGAAGCTCATATGACATTCTACAAAATGAAACCCTGGAGTAGCAAAGGATGGGATTACGTTCGGAAATATCTGGTAAATCTGCTGAATTGATTACAAATGTGAAGTCAAGCACTCCCTATAAATATTTGAAGAGAAAACTCCTAAATCCCAATACTTTATATAAATATTTTCTCACCAACTTTTAAAATCATTCCTCCTGCTCCTCCTCCTTGGCCGTGACACACTGGTTGTTCTGTCTTTACAAAGCTATCGGAGATAATTGCGCCTGGAGGGTCAGTGGTAACTGACAGCACCCGCCTCCTCCATGTCATTCAGTCAAACACTCCACAGCTTTAATGGAACCTTTAGAGCTCAATCGGGTCGAACCTAATGAGTGTGAAGTAGCACTGGCTCATTACAGATCACACTCTTCCATTCAAATCCTGCCACTTCACCTCAAAGCAATATCAATTACAAATATGAGACACACTTCACCTGTGTAGTCAATGGCCGAAAAAAAACACACATTGATTTTGTCCAGTTTTCAATTATAAGTTAAAAAAAAATCCTAAACCCAAGGACATCACAGTAGGCACAACTCACTAAAGTGAGTCCTGAAGCTAAGTGATATTAAATGGATTCAGACAGTTCGCTGTGGACGTCCTTGGTGCCAAGGGCAACCGTGTATGACTTCTGAGACACGGAGAGGTCTAAACTGCTACTTTGTGACAAGATCCAAAAGGAAGGCTCCGACTCCAGGCATATGCTGCGTCCTCGACTGTCCTGCCAGTGGCTGTGACCTCGACAGATGACAGGGGACACGGCAGGGAGAATGGACCAAGTGAGCGAAGTGCAAGTATAAAGAAAAAAAAACAAAAACAAATCTGTTGGTCCTTGTTCGTGGTGAAATGTGTCTCCTTCTTTTATTTCCACTTATTTATCATGCAAACGGTGTTTTGGAGCTGGTACAAATACACAGGAGGAGATCGTGTTGCACTAATAGCTGTCAGAAGCAGCAATGGATTAGTCAGAGCAGAGCAAACACACAGTTGGTAACAGTGGAGCAGCACCGAGTCTGTGAGGGGATTTCAATAATTTCATTATCTTTTCTATCTAAGTGTGGCCTCTGGATAATCCCTGTTTTGTCTTTATACGTGGATTTTTTTTTTTTTTATTGATAAACACTCATGATGTTTGGAAGAATAAAACAGAATGCCAATTGGAATTATACTGTAGCTTCTCTGCTTCAAATACTATTCTTTTTTGGTCATATAAAACACTTAGAATCTCCACTGACCGATCTAGTAACCCACTTTTTAATTTTTTTGAGATGTGATAATAGGATGGTGATTTAATTACCCTGCAGTAAGTCTATATATAATTCTGTTGCAATATTGCACATTTTACTGTTGCTGAATTTATATCAAGCCAATATAATTTAATGGTTGGGTCTGGATCTATTTTAACTGATCCAGCATCATATATTTTTACATTTAAGTGGGTCGTGTCCTCATGCAGACGTGACACCGACATGTTAATGTAATGAGCTTAATGTCTGAGAAGAACATTAGTTTAAATGATGGTCAAGAGAAGAGGTAGCAGACAGGTCAATCGCAGGGAGTTAAGTGCAGGGGTCAGCTGTGGTTCAGTGGGCAGAGGAATCATCTTCTAACCACAAGGTCAGGGGTTCAATTTAATAAGGAGGCATTTAATGGTAGGGTTTGCAGGAGATCTGTGAGAAAAATCACCACATAAACAAAGTAAATACACCACAACAATGTTGTACCAGCAAACATCAGGGCATAAACACAAACAACAACATTAGGTAAAACAGCATCAGCAGTATCCCATATGTTGATCACCAATGCAGTAACCTAGCATTGTAATCCTTCATGTAAGCAGTGGAGTGATATAAGCTGCAGCCGCTAATGTTATCTTCTCTATTTTTATGTCTAACGTCAGATTCATTAAGTCCGGCTTTATTCATGATAATTACAGTCGCTATTGTCATATTGAAACTGTGAATCCACGATTACAGTCAAAATGTTTCACCAACTGACCTTCCCTCACAGGACCCTCCTCACCTCATAATTTACAGAGTCAGCGAGGGACAGTTAATTTACAGGACTTTTGCACCGATTGTTTCACTGATGAGATCGTGCGTCCACATTTTATACACAATTAACTCCAGTCAGTGGACAGGAGACAAATAAATGATTACATTTTCCATGCATTAATCACAGCCTAATTTGTGTGACTGTGGCCAGTTGCTGAAAACGCTGCCTCATTTGCATTCCAGCAGCCCACACTGACGCACAGCACACACTGGCATAAGGATGCTGCCTCCTCTCTGAATTGTCTGCTAAGTGGCCTCTGGACTTCAGCCTTGTCTGTTTTGTTTGTGGCTGCTGTGTTTTCCAGACTGATTCCTGCAGCGTCTCTCAGATACAAAGTGCTCCTGTCATCAGATGCTAAAAAAAAAAACATCTGCTCTTAACAGTATTGCTCAGCTTTTCCTTCTCCATCTTCCTGACACCAGCGACAATAAGAGAGGACGAGCACAACACACAAGCTCCTGTTAACAATGTGACACAGACAAAGCACTCACAGACGACACGTTGATGGTTTGCTTGTCAGCTGTTGTCATTGTATAGGAACCAAAGTCGGCGGCAATTACTTGGAATAAATCCTGTCCTGAATATCGGGGTTTGCACAGACAAGTTAAGACAAACTGTCACATTTTATGCTAAACTTGGGAAAATAAATACATCCAAACCCGACAGGGAAGAAAGCCTCTGACGGGATTTTATTATTTCTCATGCTCAATATTCAATTAGTTATGCAGCCATAAAGTGTGAAGAATTTTAAATAAAAAATTGAATTAAGCCAACATGGGTGACTGATTGTTCACCTGAATTTAGGGTGAGGAAAAGTATGCTAACTAATATAGCAGAACCAAGCCCTGGGGTGATGCAGCTTGAAAAGGGGAGAACATTTAAGACGACACTTCACACATCAGTGGGACAGAAGAGCTGCAGGCAGAAAAGCTGCATGACAACAGTTATGGCATGATGGGATGGTTCATCACTCAGCACCAACAACATGTCATACCTCACAATGAGGCTTTTCCAAAGGCAATCTCACATATTTGCATAGTATTAAGAGAATAATGTGAAGAATAACGTGGACGGTTTCTATCCATCTGTTTGACTATTGGTCTAAGTTGAATACATACAGTAAGTAATCATACTGCATAATGTCTGTATTCTATTGTAAATGTATCACCCTTCACTTGTTTATACATAATACTATGTATAAATATTATAATATTATATTATAATATATATATATATACATATATATTGGTAAAAGGTTGCAATTAGTAATTTCTCCTACTGGATAACTTGTTTATTTATTAGTCTTTGGTTTTGGTCATACTCAGTATATTGCACCTATACATCTTTTCTTCTGTGTATTCATATAGTCCTTATATATATCTTTGGATTGTTCTTGCCATTAAAGGACTAAAATGGACACAAATTTCAATAACCCATACATTGAGCTTGGTGTTGACTATTACAATTTCCAAGTCATGTAATGTTTCTCAATGTTTAGCTAGCAAAACAAGTTGATAAACCAGTTTATTTTTACAAATAAAGTCAAATAGGTTGATGTAATACATGCCAAAGCTACCGGCCAAGAAAAAAAATCGATCAGGCTAAACATTTCAAAATGTAAATGTGTTTGTGTGTCTATAATTCATGGAGGGGGAACAGAGGGGGCTCATGACTGAATGAGCCCCATATTCGTGAGAGCAGCACTCCTGCTCATACCCCGCAGGTGTAAGTGGAGTTAATGACGTCTGGGACTGAACATGTACCAAAAACAACCGTAACAGAGCATCTGTGTGTGCAGCACAGTAAACAAATGCTCACAGGTAATAAAACACCAGCAGAGTCAGCAGCAGCAACAGTAACAGCAACAGCAGCAGCAACAGCAGCAGCAGCAACAGTAACAGTAACAGCAGCAGCAGCAACAGTAACAGCAACAGCAGCAGCAACAGTAACAGCAACAGCAGCAGCAACAGTAACAGCAGCAGCAGCAGCAGAATGGGCACCACACACTGGTTTTTCTTCTTTTTTATCTCTGATAGAAAACACCACCACACGTTTCTGCTCCAACACTAACCTCTGCACACATTCGTACAGTTTTACACTTACTTTCATGTTTGGAAGTTCCCCATGTGTGCCGCGGCACTCCCGGGCTTTTGATGATGGCTCTGCCGGCGGATTTCAGCGCGTCCATGCCGAGGTGCGTCTCTGCTCTCCGGCAGGTGGATTCCTGCTCCGTCTCCTTATCTCCTGCAGACCGCAGGCAGGGCTGTGCACCACTGTGTATTTACGCAACAAAAGCTAGTGATATATTCTAAATAAATACATAAACAAACGTATGACGAACAAAAGTCGCTCTGAGTCAACCTCCCTCCCACTGAGCAGTAATCAGCAGCTGATGAGGACCACGTGTGTCCACTGCGCCCTCTCCAAAGTTAAGGGCGTGTCCTCCTCACCTCCGAGAGGAGCTGAGTCTCCTCCTCACTCATTTAAGCCCTTTCCTCTTTTAAAATTATCACCACACTGTTTTGTTTCATTAACAACTTGTGTTTTCTTTGAAGCCAAAGTCAAAGACCACCAGACTGATGTAGATGCAGCAGGGACCTCTTTATACTTCAGTTTGTACATTATAAGAAACTGTGACTTGTATATAAATTTAAAAAGTCCTGGTGATGTATATAATTACACTGTGTATGTATTTTTCCCCAAATACTACGGTCTCACTAGGCTAGGAGACCAAGTGGACTGCAGGCAGGACAGTCCAGTACGCACATTACTGTATACAGTATGTTTACAAAGGTAAGACTTTGTCATGTGTGCAGGAGGAGAACTGACAGTGTCCCACTAAAAAAAAAAACAGTGGGTAAAGACATATGTCTCAATTAAATGTTGGACTCATCACATCAAGCTCAAATGGATAATTTCTTATACAAGTCTTAAAATAACTTTTATATTTTGTACCAGTTAATGGACAATTTAATATATAAAAATGATATCAGCCTTAATACAATGACTATTTAATATCTATGAAATTAGAACTTGGTTTTAGCAACATACTCTACCCTTCTTTTTATAAGGTAATATTTCATCACTACGTACTTCAGTATGCGTGATGTTTTCAGCTGTTTGGGTTTATGGTCACATATTTACGGTAAATGTGTCTGAGTTCATGTTTTCTTGGTTATCCCTGTGTTCAAAAAACAAAAGTTGTTCTTGGTCTACTGTACCACTTGCCTTGTAGAAACGTATGTGTATTTTTTTATATAAAACCAATAATGTCATTCATATATAATGCATTTAAATCATATGTATTTAATCATATTTTCTCTAAAATTCCTTTTATACATTATCCACCGAAACACAATTTGTTTGTACGATTGCTCCCTCTACTGTTCGCTACTTGTTATCGCATGTTTGGAACCTCGTCGGTGAAGGTTAAAAGTACTTCTGACAACACGCTTTTTTTATGGTGAAATCTTTATTAAATTTCCATCCATTTCCCAGCACTGGTTAATCATGTCAACTCTGAGTAAATCTTTGACACTCAGGAAGCAAAGCAGGGAATTCATAGACATATAATTCCCATGATTCATAAAGGAGGAGGTTATTAACCTGAAATGTCATGCTGATGATGGAATTTAGGTGATGTTAATATGTAAGAGGCTCTTCTGTGCATACAGATGTATGTATGTGCATGTATGTGTGTGTGAGTTTAGTCAGGATGTGCAGCAAGTACTGCAGACCAGACAGAAGTGCACTCCCTCTACAGACTCACAAATTAAGATAAGAATAACATTGATGAACTGATTGATGAAGGCCCTTTTCTGAATAATTTACAAAAGCAGGAGTTTTAAGATGCGTGTTTATTTGGCCTGCCAACAGTCTTTAAAGGCCCTTTATTTTATGTGAGCTGCTTACATTGGATTAGATGGACTAGTCTGTCAAAACTGAAACAATTAGAATCTGTAAATACAACATGTAAAGAATTATGAAAGGGGTTAACTTTGTAAAAAGGTGAGAGTATATTTAATTATAAATAAAACAGACCGCATTTTTGAAATAGTGTTTGTATTGTTCCATCACAGCACTGACTGGCTTCCATCTTGTCTGTACCACAAATACCTGCATTTAATTCAGCATTATTTGGACACAATTATGGAAACTTCCAGACACACTCCCACATCTAATAGGCCATCAAACCATTCCTTTAAATGTGTATTACATTGACACAGAACATTGCATCAGGTAGACAAAAGGTAAAAAGCTTCCAGATGCCAGAGCCAAACCGTGCAGTGCAGCAGTTGACAACTGTTTGATCAACACAGCATCCTAAAAGCCTGGTAGTCAACATGAAAAACAAAAATCTACATGTCTTGCAGCATGGCTTCAGAAGTGATTTTTTTTTTATTTGTTTTCAACGAAACAATTGTTAGCTGTGTCACCTCATAAAACAAATCATGCTAGTGGGGGGTTCTTTATTGGGCAGTAGGGGAGAAGGGTCAATAAAGTAAGCTCAAGAGTACAGTCAGAAGAATAATGGGCCTGATAAAATAATTTTATATTAGAGAGAGGAATAAGGTAGTCTCTATTCAGGAAGGATCAGAGAGGGGTGATGTAGCTAACAGGCTGTCAGTCCCCTCTCTTCTAGATTCCCTGATGGGTTCTATCCTGCCTCATTACAGTCTGCAGCCCTCCTGTTTATAGATCTCATGCTTTTAGTCTCACACAAACACACACACACACACACACACACACACAAACTCATCTTTTACATTTGCTCTTTCTAAACCCGCATCTTCCTTACAGGCTGTAGCTAGAAGGCATCTGGTGGGAGGGCCCGTGGAGGAAGCAGGAGGAAACTTGGCCAATGTTTTCAGGTCAGTCCAGTGGGATATAAGTGATTATTTCCATTTTAACAAAGTACATAGCCTGTCTCCGTGGACCTTATACATCGTCTTTTTCAAAAACCGGTGTCCCTTCTCCTCCACCAGCTCCTTCATCATCTTGTTTCTCTCCTCCCCTGTCTTTTCTTTCTTCTGAGGCACACAAATGGTCTTGGGACTGGGCCTTCGAGTGTCCCAGCGACTCTGCTGATAGGCTTCGACTAGACAAGATGCTACTTAGGCTGGACTGGCGGGCGCCCCTGGGATGGGTCTCAATTTCCACTTTGACTTCTATATTAGTTCCATCTCTGCAGCAACAACAGAGACACAAATAGGTGATGAATTAATGTTCAAAATACAGAGAGAATCTCTGAGTAATATAAGCAGTTGAAATTACTAATCTAAAAAGAAAAATGAACAAAGTTCACCTGGAGGGAAGGGTCTGTGAGTCACTGACTTGGCTATCAGGAATAATAGCCACCTCGCAGTCCAGTGGAGTGTCCTGTTGGGAATATTCCTGGAGTCGTTTGGCTTCATCCACCCTCACATAGCTATCTAGCTCTGGGGGAGTGTTGCTGGTACTCGGGAGGACACCCACTTCCTGTATACTGACCCTAACTTCCTGGACACTGGTGTCACTGAGGGCTTGGTTGTTCTGACCCGTCCAGTGATCACTGACTACATGAGAGAATAGAAGATCTATAAGAGAAGTTGAAACTTTATCAGATTAGGCCATGACCTTTGGGGCATTGATAATAACCTTACGCTGATGTAAATTATTGGAGTGTATGATATCACTGACCTTCAGTCACTGACAAACATGTACTCACAGCTGGCTAAGTCCTCCAGTTGGATTTTCTGCATTTCAGGCGGTTCGCCCTGCGGTCGACACCAACCATTCCTACAGAGAGACATGGGGACAACTCCATAGACGTATGTCAGCATGAGTGGAACGCCAACACCTGGAGAGGAAAAGAGTTCACATTAAAATCAAAACAGTGAAACTGATGTGTCCCAGGTTTAAGTAAAATAGCAACAATAATTTAAACACTGGTATTTTGTAAATAACAGCTTTGAGATGTAGTACTACTACTGCAGATGTAGTGCTCACTGGCTTGATACTACTGATATCAAGTACTTTCCACAGACTTCCACAGCAGGAGCAGCTTTCACTTGTGTGATTATGCAATCAGTGATTGAGTTGGGAATTCGGGAACACAAAACTGAGCTCCGACCAAACAAAGAGACATCATTAACACAGCAGAGTCTGGGACACCATCGACTGTGCAACAGGGTGAGAACTGACGAGGCTGCCAGCAAAACTGTGAGTGTGTGAGAGGGAGGAGAGGAGGGTCAACGGAAAAGAACAACAGAACCCAGAGGTGTGAGTGTAATATGTGAAAATAAACAACAGTTGTTGAGACTCGTGACAGTGAAGAACATATGGCAGTAAAAAAAATAAAAAATAACTGAGAAGGTGTTTAGTAGTGGGCAGCTCTGAAGAAGGCAAGAAAGTACCAGCTAAATTGTTTGAGTCTGAATCTTTGTGTATGTAGTTTGCGTATTCTGACTGTGTGGATGTCGGTTTGAATCCAGTTTTCTCCCACAGGTTAAAAACATGCAGGATTAAGTTAGTGACCTTTTAGTATTCTGATCTTTTTTTTTTTTTTTGCTGTCCTTAAAAACGACCTACAACTGTCCTTCATTCCTTACCCACAGTGACGGCTGCTATGACTGGAGACACAAACACTGACATCATCACTCCGCTGGCCACAGTCAAGTAATGCTTGCTTCCTGAGATATTGTTTTTCTTACAACGACCATGGACCTGTGAAAGAATTAAAAAAGAAAAATCATTCTTGTTATACAATAAAGGGAAGTGAAATAGGCTGCATAATATTTCTATAATGTTATTCTAGATAAGATAAAATGTTTACAGTTGCACAATAAGATGAAATTGATGAACTTGAACATTTAACCTTAAAGTTAAAACTGCATCTGTTGTGTACCTTTCGCCCCATGTAGATTGGTATTCCCACAATAATGACTGGGATGGCGATGCCCGCTATAAGGGAAATGACCACAGGCGCTCCGAGCAACATGCCCACCTGCCACAGAACCTTACGGGTCTGTGACCATGGCTTCTTCCCCCAAAATGTACATCCTGAAGGACTGAGACACAGAAGAGAGCATCTGTCACACAATACTACAATGAGTTTTTAAATTATTATCTACCACTAGTTTGAACTACTCATTTGCTCTACAAAGTCAAAAAATGCTGGTTTCCCTTTGCATGTTTAGATATAAATAAATGTAGAAAGAGATTTGATTCTTTCTTTCTTTCTAGTGGAACAAAGGATGAATAAATCAAGGTAAACAAACACCTGAGGTAGTGCACGTCCGTGATCTCCTGCATACACAGCCAGCAGAACTGACAGGCACAAACTGTGCAGTTCATTCGGTTACAGCTGCCGTCGTTGGTCTTCATGATGTAGGCGCCGCAGCGAGGGCACGGCTTGATCTCCTCTGCATCTGAAGCAGAAAGGTGAACTTGAAAGAGGCTGACCACACACCCAATCATTTATTCATGTTAACCTTTAAAAACGTATATCTATATTGAAAACTTTGAATACATATTTAAAGTTTTCAATATGATGTTTTTTGCTCATGATCTACCAGCACTCCCTTTGTGATCTACTGGTAGATCGCGATCAACTTATTTCCAAACCCACCACAGAGAGCTAAGCGTCAGATGCTGCCAGCCCTACCTCCACCATGTTCTTCATTGAAGACATACAGTGTGGAGGAATCGTTGCCACCTGATGTGTGGCGTGCTCTCTGACGCCGTGCCTGGTCACACGTCTGGTTGGGGTGCCACAGCTGTCTGCAGTGGTAGCAGAACTCGGTGTCGCATCCCTCTCGTCCGCAGCTCAGCTTTGGACACTCGGCGCAGCCATAAGCTATCACTGCATAACTGTGGAGACACAGAGCGTAACTCTACACATGGACCTACCAAAGGCAACCATAAGGTTTTAATACAAACATTTTATTCTCACATTTAAATACAGAGGGGCAGAATTGGTCCAGCAGCTGAAACTGTAGTTTTAAAACTACTACTACTCACATAAAGAACAAAAGGCTGATTTTTCTTAGATCCAAGGTAATCTGCTGCTAAGCCTCTCATTCTAAGGCCTGAAGGAATTCCAAAAGGTAGAGAACATGGTACAACATAAATCATAGCACATGTGTGGGCCTTATATAACTCTGTGTTAGCTGCAGCATTTTTTATGTAAAGTTTCAAAGAACACTCTTGTTTTCTCCACTTTCATTCCAGACCCCTTTTTCTTATCAATATCTTGAAGACAAAATTGCATGATTTTTCTTTTGGGAGACACTTGAGAAATTCAATCTTTTGTTTCTCGCTGTTACATTTAATTCACCACAGCGTCAGACAGATTGGCTTATTGATTTCTGCTCCACTCATTCGTGATGACTGACTGGGTGTTCCAGCACTTGCAGCTTGGCAGACAGACAGTCTACCACTGAGACCTAAACCCTGCTGCATACGTGCCTTGGACCACAAATAACCAAATGACACACACACTCACGCACACTCACACACACATATTGAATGAATTTCCCATCAGCCGCCCTATCCTGTTCCTCATTCATGAACATTTAGGTCACAGCGCAAAGGATCAGTCTAAGCATGCAGGGACCCTGGTGGTGACTGCATTGTATTACGACAACTGTTAAACATAATACAGTGAAATTCTCTCATCAACCCAATTAACGAAGAAGAAGAAAAAGAACAGCTCAAGAAATCTAATTTGACAAGTGTTTAATTACAGTGCACTGACAGACACCAGCTTGTGACAGTGTCTTCAGAACATCTGACCCCATTCCACATGGTTAATGGCCTTCAGCTGCGACTACATTTGTGTTAGTGTGTCAGAGAGTGTGAACACAACAACTGTTCTTTCTTATACCTATTATCAATTCAGTCCCCTTAGAAAAACAATATTTATAGTATTTTTTATTATTGTTATCCTATTCAGTCCAAATCCAATGAAAAAAGGGTTCCAGATTCCTTAACCTAACCCTGCAGAGTTTAGTCTCACCTGCAGTCTGGTGCAGGGCACCAGCGAGTATCTGGATCAGCGGCGAGAAATCGTCTCAAGTGGTACTCCTCAAACCGCTCCAGCAACGCCTGGTCATCCAGTATGGCGCGGACATCTAGAGGGGCCAGAGTCTCTGGGCATTGCGGGCACGCGATGCCCACGCGACTCTCTGATATCTCAATGCGCAGGTACTGGCGGAGGCAGTCGGAGCAGGATCGATGGGAACAGGAGGTGAGACGTGGAAAGTGACAGCGTGGTTGACTGAGCAGGCACAGTGGACACTCCTCCAGATGTTCGTCCAGCAGCTGCTCCTGACTGGAGGAGGAGAGTGACAGGACGCCAGTGGAGCCCCTGCTGACCTCGACCACGCACTCAGCCGTGGCGGCTCCGTCTTCAGCTCCCTGGGCTGCTGCTTCTCCTTCTCTTTCTGCTCTAGAAGCTGTGGATTCTCCACCTTCCTCTGCTGTGAGGTTGATGTCCTATGAACAGTTCATAATAAAATCTCCATGAAAGAACATTCTGTTGCTGTTATAAAAAAATTCCATAAACTCTTAAAGTTAGACAATATATAAAAAATCTAACTTGCCAATTTGTGTTTGTATGTGGGCGGATATTTTTGATCAATCTCGTTTCTTAGCAACGATTGTTTTTTTTCTAATAACCAATTAATAAAATAAACACTGTAATGGATTTGGGTTGTAACAGCTTGGCAGTGGAGCAGCAGGTAATGCATCGGAAGTTAATAATTTACAGACTTACACGGCAATTTGACAGACACTGAGGTGAAAAATCAGTTTTGTGAAAAATGAAATAATTAGATCAAACAAGTGTAAGGTGAGTAGTACTACTATATAACAGCAATAGTATTTCACAAGGTTTACACACAAAAACACTTTTTCTAAGTGTAATAACAAAATTAGGAAACAAACAAGCAATCCAAAATTTTTATGTTCATTTGAGCGACGTTTTCACCTGCACTGGGTTTTCGCTGGGAGTCAGAGTGATGGCCACCTCCTCTTTGGGGCAGGCTTCCACGGGTCTCTCGGGCCTGGGCTCCGATTTGGGCTTCCTGGTGAAGAAGTTGAGGAAGCTCAGTGGCCCCGTCTGCTGCTTGGGCCTCTTCATGGTGTTGAACTGGAGCAGGAGGAGCAGCAGCTAAAGAAGGCACAACCGTGAGCAGAATGCAGCTATGACAGCATGTCTATGTGTGTGTGGAAGGCACAGAGAAGGAGGGAGGGAGTGTGTTTGTATTTAGGTGAGCAAATAAAAAGAACACACTCACACAGCGAGCTCTCACGACTCAGGAGGTTTCTCTGCGGCACAAGAGAGGATGAGCAGGAGTGATGGAGAGGGAGACGATGGGGACAAGGTGATCCCTGCTGGAGGGGAACATCACAGGTTTAGAGGCGTTCTGCGTCTGGTCATGTGGTTGACTTTGTCTCTGCTGTCTCTCCTCCACCTCCGCTGCAGTTCCCTCATCCAAGCTATGCCAGAACAGACTGACTCTCCTACACCATTTTGGGCCGGCACTAAAAAACACAGCATAACATAAACCAGTGAATAGGAACAGGGATTATGTGCTGTGTGCTCAAAACACCAAAGTACAATTATTTATTAATCCTCAGGGGAATACAAAGGACATTCTCTTATTTTACTTCAAGTAATTGGCTAATTTTATCTAATAATACGGTTGTAGCACAACATTAGAAGTATTTTTTTTCATGTATAACGTGCAAAGACATTGTTTGCTTATTAACAATATGTATAGCAATAACCTTTTTCTTTTCGCTGAGATGTCATTCAGAGTTCTGCACAACCTTTTTTTTTCAATTTACCTCTACATAAAAAGTAACACAGGATGCTGTAGTACAGCAAACTGTGACAGAAAAGAAAAATCATAGAAACATAGGGAAGAACATGGAACCTCCAAACAGAATGAAGCTGGTTATGTTCCTACTGTAAAGCAAGGCATCATGTGGCCCAGTTTGTGTTCTGACTGCTGTGCTGTGCTGTCATCTAACAGAGTCATATTGTCTTAATTAGCAGCTGTGAGCTTCGATAATTGGACAGAAGAACAGAGAGTATGAGGTGCTTCAACCCCGGGCCAATTAAAACTGTCAAATTAGACCATGTTACATGACATGGAACAGAATTAAATAAAAACTGTTTCAAAGTTTAAAAGACTCAGATATTCTCTGTCTGTGACAGCAGCTGCAGGTTTCGGCAATAACATGTTTCCTTGTTGCGCAAAAAGGAATTTGGAACATGTGGATTTATGTAACACTGCAGTACCTAACCTGCTTTCCTGTACAGACTCTGAAAGTTGGAGCCGTATTTATATTCCAGTCTGTGGATATGTTCAAGTTGACATGATCGGCAAACTTCTCATGCGGCAGCACATCATTATACCGTATGTGCATGGAAATTAAAGAGTGAAGAAAAGACATCTGTTGTTCTTTAAGACATTGGCATCATAGAGAGATGATTATATGATTTAAGTGTCTTCCCGCTGCAGCTAGAAATATAGTATGTTCTGCCTTTTTGCCAGAATGTTGTATAATACAAACTAAAATAACAGCGGACAGGGGTCATTATGCAACAGCTGTTTTTGTCATGTGGTCACATGTGTGACGCTACAACCTCCTTTGCGGTAATATGGCAGTAAAAAAAAAGAAAAGAAAAAAACTCTAGGATTTGTCAATCAACCATTTACATTTCTTTCAACAAAGAACCAAAAAAATGACATTTATTAATTATTTAAATTGATCACAATAAAATGCTTCATTCATAGAGTAACTATATAAAAGGACACAATTTGACAAAAGTTTTTACCCTGGGGATAAACTGAAGTAATAAGAAAAAAATATATAAATATATATTTTACTAAAGTGAATTTGTTATTAAAACATACATTTTGATTGATTATATGGTTATTACATTTCTATCTCAACCTTATATTCATTTGAAAATAATAAAAAATCACTTATCACATTACTTTATATTTAACATAATAAAACTTTCCCTCAGGGTTAAAGGAATGAAACCAACTGCTTAATCTAAGTCATTTTAAATGTGACAATCACTGACTTCACTGAAAAATACTGAGTTCTTTAATCTCACTCAGAAGGCAGAGGGAAACATGGTCAGCAACACCAAGGACAGTTTTAGATAAAGGCGAGAGCTGTTTTAGATTTTAGAACAATTTTGTTTGTGTGTGTGGGCGAACATATATGTTTGCACAGCACACCATAAAAGGCACCATCCTGAGACCACTGACCACAATGACCCTAACCCTAACACCAAGACAGTTATGCTTCTTTTATTATTATTTATTTTTAAAATAAGCATTTTGATTAAAAGGTAACAAATAGGGAATTATAAAAAATATTTTAAAAAGCTAAACGGTTCCTTTAACATGCAATTATAACAAAACCATTCTTACACAAAAATCTGTTGGTTTACTCTGTATATAAAAATAATTACTTTTTTTTTACAAGCATAACAGTGGAAAGTAAATATGCTGCTGTAATAACACAGTATTAAGAGAGGGAGGTTATGTGAAGAAAAACAACCTTCTTTAATCCTGAGGGAGAAATCCTCCAGAGCAGCTCTCTGCAATTTTTCCAGCAGGAGGTATAGTTTATTACAGCCGTGGTATAGAACATGTTGAATTATGGGAAATCCATTTATAAATGTGCCATAAGACAGACTTCTTATACACAGTCACCCCAAAATATGATTCAATAGATTAATGCCACTGATATTAACCTGAAGGCTGAAGTAACGCCCTGCAGTGGGTTTTCACCCTGAATAAAAAAAAAGGAACCAGAGAGCAGATGTTTTAACAGGACTTTCTTCACTTGTTGGAATGAATGACGTCACTTATATTTTTGCTTCTTGCTGTTAACTGTCTGCATGTGAATATCATGCACGGGGCAAACAGCAATGGCATCATAGAGAGAGAGAGAGAGAGAAACAAAATAGGAGTTACAGTATGTGAAGAGCAGCTGATCATAACAGATCATCACAGGGCGATCGACACAGACAGTCAGGTGTTGTGCCCTGAGGATGGAAGGTAGAAATGAACAGGATCTGACCTTTAGCATCCAGATGTGGGTCGGATTAATCCAACATCTGTGCGTTTTCTAGAGGACAGTTTGTCCAGTGTTGATGGCAGGAAAACAAGAAGAAATATCAACAACGTAAACTCTCAGACATCATTCAGCTGCATTCACTTTCACGTATCACTCAATCTACATACAGTATGTGCATGATTTATAACCAGTGTACTTCTGATACAAAGCTCCCAATTTACCCAGGCCTGATCCCAGCAGAAGAGAAGACACAGAATGTCAACGATGACTGGATTCCACTGACTTCTAAAGTAGCAACTGGTATCTGCCTGTGAAGTCTTATCTATGAGCCTATAAGGGCAAACTACAACCTCTGAGAGTGATCCTAATGAAGCTGCCTGGTCCAGGACCAGCAAAAACAACTCTTTTCCCTAGCTGCTGCCTCCAGCTCATCTGGGAAACAGCCTTAGTGTTTGTAACTGTTTCCAACAGCAGGTCCTGCATTAAGTCCTCTTGAACATGTAGGTTTCAAGTCTGCACTTGCATTTTATCCAAGTTGTTGCTACACTGCAGGTAATATGGCAACTATGAGAATTCTGACTGATTCTAGTTTAAAAAAATCACATCTATCTGAAGCTAATATTCAGATACATGTATCTAACAGCCTAAAATGATCTCATGTGACAAGAAATTGATAAAGGCAACTCTGCATCTATTTTGCACTGCTATTGCATCTTGGTAATGATCTACTTTCCACCAGTGAACACTTCCACCTAGACATTACTCAATCACTTGTGAAAGAAGAGGCCATTGGAAAATACAAACAGAGGCCACAGCACCACATACCTCTACGTGTACTTGAAAGTGGCATGGGAAATATGTAACCAGTGGATTAACAAACACAAACTGGCCTGATAGAACTGACGGCACATCAACTCGGAAGTAACTCTAGTTAAGATTCTACCTCGGAAGAGGGAAACCTAATGGTATTATCTGTTACACTGGACATAAGCCAACATCAGCAATGCGGGGATTCAGAGGCATGTAAGTGACCTCACTCTTCCCACACACACACACACACACACACACACAGCTCTGTTCTGCACCATGTGCTCAACACTGAGTATTATTGACCTCTGGCAGGGCCTGCTTACTCTTTTTTTTAAAAAAAAAAACGACCAAAATAGGTTGATGATGCAGACCCCTGTTTGAGCTGTTTGATGGCACGGACTTTTATAGCAGTGCCACAAGTTTTTCTTTTCAGGGTTTTTTTTTATCTCGGTCATGTCTTTGTTAAAATGGTCTAAGAATTGAATTTTCGAAAGTGATAAGTAAAAACAAACAGGCCTACAGTGCATATGAACGAGTGCGTGTGTGTAAATAGAATATAAATTAATGCAAAATCATATATGTTGTAGGGCAAAATACATTCGTGCATCTATATAGAAATTATTCATAGGTTTATAGAACACGGTGCATCCATCCATGGCAATGATTTACAAAGACGTGCTCAGAGCATCACATTGAGCTGTAGCAGGGAGTGGCATGTTTAACGTGCTCCGTATCCTGGTTCCTTTTCCTCTCCATCTCCATGCTTTCTCTTTTGTAAGTCCGACAAGTCACGGCAACAATTGCGCAACAGACCGATCTAGCATTATACACAATCATTTCTATTACGTAAACGGTGGATCTTACCTTCACTGCGCGGCGCCCTCTCTTCGCAGCGTACTATCCAACTGGCAACTGGCTCCGCCCCTAGAGGACCACAGAGTCCACACTCTGGAAGCTGACCGTCTCCTCCTCTCCTCACTGCTGCACCCTCAGCAGGAGGTGATCGAGAGACGCGGTGGGTAGTGATGGATGAATGTGTGGAAGGGTGAATGGATGGATGGATGTTGGAGTCCGGCTGCCAGAGGAGAAATGAGGAGGGGGAAGAGGAGAGGCAGCAGCAGAATCAGCAGCAGACTGATGACTATGCTGACTAAGGACAGCGTCCCACTGCGGTGACATGAACCAATAGGATAACGCAGAATCACAGGATCTCCTTTTCATTATTGCCCCAGCCCCCTTAAAAATAAAAGGGCCCCCTTTAGAAACAAAGGACCCATATTCAATACATAACATGCTCGTAAAAAATACGATTTCTCCCTAAACTGAAACACCTCTATCTTACATTAGTTCTTACTTCATCTGTTATAAAAAAATACACAGCACTTAAATTATACTTCAATCTGTTATCTTAAATAGCCATTAACGACAAAAAATAATGTATAAGTTCTAAACTTAAAATGGTATTGCCAGTGTATTAAAATACACAATGTATTTAAAAAACAACAGGTAATTTTGACACATTTGGCAGCATCCAGCGGCAAAATTACATCTGCTACATATTTCTCACTTTACTATTTCTGTCCAAGCATGTTGGAGGAAAAATAGGGGACCGAGTAAAACTCAAGTGTGTATAACAGACCATCCAGCCCCATAAACAAGTGCATTTTTTTCTTTTCTGTTAAACATTACATTACTTTTAACCATGCCACCTATATACTATTTAGAAATAGATGTTTGTCTTCTCCTGAGGAAATGTGAAATTTTATAGGGCTGTACTTTTATCTGTTACATACTTTGGTCCCTGGATGATCTCCTAAATCACCTGCAGATGTCTCAAACGTCCCTGGAGGCTCATTTAAACAAATGTTACAATGTATATGAAGAAAGGCACACACAAAGAGGGACACAAATGCACACATATTGAAGCTCTGGTTATATAGAGGAACTCTGCAGGGAAAAAAACATGCATATTTTAGTTATCCTACATTATATTCTCACTTACTTAAGTAAGAAATATGCATGTTTTCAGTTTATTTAAGTTTATCCTACTCTAGATAGTGTAAACTCGTTATGAATAATGAGGACATATAGACATCTCATTTACACACAATACAATTTTGTTATTTAATGAATGGTTAAAGATAAGACGAAGGTAATGGCCATACCAAGGACGTTTCCTTCATTATCGTTAAAACCACATTAACTATGATGCAATGCGGCACATCAACCGGAAATTATTTTCGGAAACGGAAACACCCTCAAAACGGAAACGAAGCGTATACAATGGAATCAAGCCACATTCATAAAAACTATTAAACATCCGCTTAACTCCACAGGCCTTCAAAACAAAACAACAGACATTTAAATAACCGCGTTTATTGAATTACATTCGTAAAAGCATGGCGACTTTAACTAATATGTGTATTTTAAACCACTCATAAATTAATAATGGGAACAAACTCCAAACACAAGTAAGTTTTTACTCATTACGTAATATGATGCTTTTATACTGAAGGAGTAAAAATGAAAGTGGTGTTGCTACTGAGTCTGCTGTCTTACAGGAGAATGAGAAAATCAATTAAGTTATGAAAAATACCTTTAATTGCCTTTCTTTGTCGCCGCAGCTCATGAAGAAATGGCGGATCTGCGGGCGTTGTACAACTGAGGACGAATACATTAAAGCCAATGGCGTGCGTACGGGTGGCGAAGAGAACCTAAATGGACAACAGTATTTACGTTTTTTAGGTAAGTTAGCATCGGAGCTAGTGAAGTTGACATTAGCTATTTGGCTAATTTAGCTGTAGGTTAATGGCACAAAAGCGACACATGTCTACATGAGAGGTGTTGGCACAGTCATTAACACGTTTCTCGTGAAAATACGTTTTTAAAAATGTTATTTATCAGACTCGTACAATCGCTGTTTCTGAAGTTTGCTATCACGCCTTGCTGTGTGAACTAGCACTATGCTATGTGAAGACATGTCTCAGTTTACTATTCGTTTATTCGTCTGATAGCTATCGGTCGGAGACCAGAGGATATCTTACATATTGGTTAAGTATTTTGAATATTTTAAACATATTACTATAGTGTACTTTGCTTTCAATCTAAATAGATCAGTTTACGCTGCAAGTGGATGTGAAAACGTATATTGTGAGATAATTTGTTCATACCAGTTAAGATGAAACTGCTGCCATGCGGCGTTGTGTTAATTACACTTTGTTGTAGCCCTTAATTAACTTCATCGAGACACAATTGACGCTGTTCTTCGGAAAATCATAACAGATCCACATAACTTAATTCGAATTCATTTTGTATTTTTATATAAAGATCAGACACAGACAATTAGATTGGCTAATGCTGTCAAAATATAAATTCATCTCAAGAGAATTTCGAACGTCGGTTTAATTCAAGTATCATTGTATGTATGGTATGTATGTGTTTCTATATGTTTTTGTTATGTGTAATGTAATATATCGTGATAAGTATTGCATGTCAGCCGTCAGAAATATTTTTAAATTTCCGTTTAAAATTTACAGAAATACCGACTCGTATCATCCAGACACACAAGAATGAGCTGATGGTTGTGAAAGTCTGGAAGAAGACGTCTCACAAAAAGGAGAGGCTAACTGGAAGATGCCAAGAAAAAAACAACAGAATCCACAGCCAGTAAAGTGTAAGTGTCCATTGTTTTTTGTTGTTTTGAACTTAAACAGGGAGTAGAGCTACTTTTCCAGAGACATGAGTCACCTTACAATAAGCATTTGCCCTAATTGCAGACCTAACTGATTACTGTTTTTTTTTAAATAGTTTTGATAGCTTAGGTGATGTGTTGGTTAATTTTAGTGGTAACCTTTGTTACCACAGATCCTGAACGTGAATGACGTACTTCAACTGTATCAATCTACAATGTTTTGTTTAATCGTTTTTTAATGATAGTTTATAAATCAAATGTAGGGTGTGGCTCTGTAAAGAATAAACACCCCATATCTTTATTTGCATATTTCTGTCATTATGTCAAACACTAAAACGACCAGTAGATGGTGACAGAAGGCTGGTTAAGATTCTGTACAGAGGGAGCTGCTCAGCTCGTCCTTGACTTAATCTCTGAGTCCCATTTGACAGCTGTCTGATGGTCGTTTGTATTCCATCAACGTTGCAAACCAAGTTTGCGTTTCAAGGATCATTAGCTGCAACTGCAGTGAAGATGGTTCAATTTGTCATCTGTACGCAGTTAACTTTGTGCTTACAAAATGTGGGCTTACGCCGATGGAGACATGTGTAGATCACTTTTTCAATATTGTGCTGTGTGTATGGCAACTCTTTCATTAGCTAACAGCATTTTAAGGTGTGCTGCTGTAAGAATGTAATTGATTTGTTTGTTGCTTATTTACACTTTTTTTGTAACTGCAGTGGATTCTGAAGATGGACTAACCACAGACACTCCAGGAAACCTCACCTTAGACACAGACTTTCTTCTAGAACAAGACCTTGAGTTTGATGACCCTGATCCTGATGAAAACAAGATTTTAGGACTGGAAAAATTCTCAGGTCAGTGATTGGTTCAGAAACTGTAGGTGGCCATCACCAGTGTATTAAATATATAAATTCAAAGAAAAATAACCTGTTGTATTATTCCTAACAGTACTGAAACTTGCACATCCTGTAGACAAAACATTCTCATTGTCTCATTAGTTCAGAATGTCTGTGTTATGACTGATTATTTGTGATTCCACCAGTAGGTCTTAGTGAAAGGTTATGTCCTGCTTGGCTTATCTGTGCTGTAGGGAATTTAAAACATACAATATGTCTTGAATTTGAAAAAAACTTTTTATTACTTATTTATAAATTTTATTTTGGAAAATACCTTATTTTTAAATAACACATGTAATGAGTCAAAGATTTATCCATTTGATTCAACGGCTTTAGCAGCAAGTAAAACATTCTGATGACCCAATGTGGAAAGTAGAAAGTAGAAAGAAAAAAATTACAGTAAAAGTCCCTGTGATTAAGATTAGTCCCTCTGTGTGACTGTAGAGGAGATGACACCACCAGCTCATGTTTCACAGCGTGGCTTTGTGTCAAAGTGTGTGATCTGGAAAAAAAAAATAGAAAAGTAGAAAAAGGAGCTGAAACACCATTATTATGTGGGGGTCATAAAAACACAACCATTATCATCATGGACACCATTATAAGAGGGCATTTATTCATCATCATCATCATCATCATCATCATCATCATCATCATCATCATCATCATCATCATCATCATCATCATCATGAGCTGTTGCCTCTGCTCTGCCACTGCCATTATTGTTTCCATCTCATCATCATCATCATCTTCTACCCTCATCATCATCAGCAGCAGCAGCGGCCTCACCATTATAGTCATCATCATTATCATTAGGCCTGGTAATCATCCACAAGGGCTTTTCATGGGGAGGGATAAAAAGGGCAGTCTCTGCTCTCGTCTTACTCACATCCTGCCTCAACGTCTGTGAAGAAAGGTGCTTTTTCTTTTGCTCTGCTAAAAAGCATGTACGAACGCCAGGGAGCAAAGGCTTGAAGTCCTGAGGCATTTCTTTCTACTTTCTGGGAAAATGTGTCTTTGCTTTTTGTCCTCTTTATGTCTAAAAACCTAAAGTTAGAGTTAGAGCTCAGGTGATCTCACTGGTGGAAAAGTAAGTACTAAAATATTTTTCTCTCTTTTCTTTTTAATAATAATGGTACAATGTTTTTTCAACACCATAATTAAGTTATCACAATCTGTGAATGTTCTTTGTTTTTTTTTAACCCAGGATACTATAAATGAAATTCCAGTGAGACTTTTTTTTATTTGATCTATGTCTGTGTTTTTCAGATGTCAGGTTTGATTGTTTAAACATTTGCAACTGTGGAAACACTTTTTCCTATTTGTCATTTTTGCACAGAGGTAGCAGCTGAGATCGGTTTCTCTGTTTATCCCCTGGGTGATGAGGAGAGCCCAACCTACGGTCAGCTCAGCATGGAAAGTGAAACGGATAATTCTCGCAGCACAACCGACAACGGAAGGGACGACGACGGCAGAGAACCTCGGCCGGAGCCTAGTTTTCCTCCATACCTGTCCTGCAGAGGCTGTGGTCAACTCCGCGATGGACCACTAGGACCTGGCATTGACCTTGTTGGCCCATATTGCCTTAGGTGTTGTAAAGCCTCCAGAGAAGCCAAAAGCCCGGACTTCTGTTTACCTTTTGGCCTCAGTGGGCTTCGCCCCGCTTCCCATTCACAACTTGACGGAGAAGGAATGAGAAATGGAATGGGTGACAAAGCTCTGACAGCAGAGGACAAACTGTCCAAACTGCACTCCTGTCACCTCTGTGGTTTTTCCTCACGTTACGCCAACCATGTTAAGCGTCACATGAAGACGCATAATGGGGAGAAGCCCTTCAACTGCCCCCTGTGCACTTACGCCTCAGCTCAGCTGGTGAACCTGCAGAGACACCTGCGCATTCACACCGGCGAAAAACCTTACAAATGTGAGAGCTGCACCTTTGCCTGCAGTTCCCTTGGTAACCTCAAGAGGCACCAACGCATGCACCTGCCCACTCCAGGAACTGGACAGGAAGCCATACAGGGACCTGTCACTGGTCAGAATAGTCTGAAGAGGCAAGTGACGGGGCAAAGACCCAGTGGAGAAGCTTCAGGTGCTTTAGGGCGAGGTATGTATGATTTTACTTTTTAATTGAACTTTTTACATCACCAAAATTCTTACTGTGGAATTTGCAGTAAAATAAATATAAAGTAGCATGTCTTCTCCAGACAGCCTTGAATTCACTTCTTCAGTGAAGAATATTTTAGTGGGGTCAAAACTTGAAATAAGGATTAGCTAGACAAGGAATTACCTTTAAAGACTTTAAGAAAACATTAGGGAGATGAGCTGTAGTGGTTTAGGGCATTTTATCAGATACTGTTGGAAAACCAAATCCATTGGCCATCTTCAAATGTGTATTTATCCTTATTTGACTTCAGAGATTAACTTCTCTCCAATTGTGTTTCCTTTTTACCAAGTATCAGAAGTGGCAAGAGCAACGTCACACCTGACCATGGCGTCCCAGAACAATGACTACCTGTCAGCTTTCGATAGCTTAAAGGAAGCATCGCCACCACCTTTACCCCACTCTAATCATGGCCCTGCCCTCCAGGCCCCACCTGTGCCTCACACTACAGACAGAGAGAGCAACAGGACGAGTAGGGAGGGCTCAGCAGATGGCGCCAGCCTCCCACCTTCACTTTTCCCTTATACCTGCCGTCTGTGCGGTGTCGTCCTGGAGGACGAGGACGGCACCTCTGCCCAAATTTGTGCCAAGTGTACTTTGGAGATGCTGACTAAAGATGCCTCTTCATCTCCTAACAGCCCAGGTGAGCGGAGTGACAAGGTTTACACCTGCGCCGCCTGCCCCTTCCTCACCCACTATCCAAATCACTTGGCACGCCACATGAAAACTCACAGCGGCGAAAAACCCTACAAGTGCCCTCAGTGCGACTATGCCTCAGCGCACTTTGACAACCTCAAGCGTCACCACAGAGTGCACACGGGTGAGAAACCTTACAAGTGCAATTTGTGCGACTATGCTTGTGGGAACTTGGCGAACCTGAAGCGTCACCTGCGAGTGCATTCGGGCGCCAAACCCTTCCAGTGTGCCGTGTGCAGCTACAGCTGCAACCAGAGCATGAATCTGAAGCGACACATGCTGCGGCACACCGGCGAGAAGCCGTACAAATGTCGCCAGTGTGGCTACACCACGGGCCACTGGGACAATTACAAGAGGCACCAGAAGAAACACGGCCTCGCCACAGACGGCTGGGTCAAGGTTCCCATGACTGGAAATGACGAAGAAGAAGACGATGATGATGATGATGTACGTAAAGGGATGGGATCCGGAGTCCAGACTCACAGAAAAGAAGCAGGAGTTGATATGCAGTACATGCAGGGAGGTCGGTCGGACTACACACCTGTGCTACAGACTTGACTGCATTAAATGAAAAACTCAGCAGAATGGAAGCTACCAGCAAGTCTTTTTGTTTTTAAATTGTTAACCTTCACAGAGCCTTTATTATTGTTTGAATGCATCTGTGTCTGTGTTTGTCAGATGTACAGAGGCTGCTAATTGTTTGTAAAATCGGACACAATTATAAGAAGAAAAAAAATGTCGGTCTACATTATTTGATGCCTTTTGGATTTCAGAAGAAATCTGGCACTGTGTTTTCAACCCGTAGTATTTGTTAGACTGATTAGTAGGAAAAGGAGGATTTTTTTTTCAACGTGGATGAAAACAAGACTTTAGAGGCAGATTGTTAGATTGTCCTTTCTGCCTCAGAGCGGGCTCATACAGGACTACCAGTCCAACACAGCATGATGGAGTTGGTCTTAGACAGTCAGTCAGCTCAGTGTTCATCAGTCATTTTCACTAAACTATGGCAACATCGTAGAAAGTTATAGGACCACCTAGGAGCTGTCCTTCAGCACCACTGGGTCCAGAGATCTACTCAGTGACTGACTCTACTCTGTAACCTCCACCGATCAGTGTTAATGGGTTAAAAACGACCAGATTTCTTCTTCAACTGAGGTGAATGAGTCCACGAGACTGTGTTTCGTCTTTGTCTTCTACTCTTGCTCCGTTTATGTCAACACAAATGAACTGTAGCTACTGTTAAAAAAAAGTCTTTTCACTGGCTCATCATATATGTCACAGATACCACATGACAAAATCACCTGAATACATAGAACCGGTGCAGATTTGTGCCTGATCCATTGAGTTGCACTGTGTAGTTTTATTCAATCCTCTTTGTTGCTACTTTAACTTGAAGTTAACGTACGTAGCCTGGGTTCAAACCTTTTCACGTCAGATTTAAACACGTGCCAACACGACTACACCGTGCAGCTCATGGTGAAGAAGGCTGATGTTTGAGGTCAGTATTTTGCTTTTTGTTGCATCAAAGCACAACTCCATTAAGAGCATGAACTAACCTATGTATGTACTACTAGCAATGTGGCGATGACAGAACTAAAAGTTGTTTTAACTCTAATGATTGACTCATATTGAACTGTAACCGTGTTTTTCTTTCAGCCCCCCAAGACAAAAAGGGATGTGGGGATTAAAATCCAAAGCAAGAAAGTGTAATAGAAATAATAATTTGTAGTTATTTTATCAGTAAAATTGCATGTGGAAACATTGTAGTTTTAGCTGTAACTGTAGCTTGTACAAGAAAAAAAATAAAAGGGAAA